CAGCAGTTTGCATGTCACAGGTTTATATACCCTTGAGCATAGTTCAGATTGTTCATCCCTCTGAATATTATTCTCATGCAGATTTTAGCCCTAACTACAGAAATTCTCCTGTATTCGGTCTGGCTGAAGCTGCCACGCTCATGCACCTACTATTGAAGCCCACTCTACAGGGAAAATACCAGCAGATCCCTAAAGTCTGAGCTCCAGCTCTCTAGTTTTATAAAACTTGTAAAAGTTAAGACTATGAGTGTGGTAAAAGTTCAAAAATAATTCATCCGTTTCTATAATTCATCTGTCTCTCTTTGTTCTGGTCTTTATCCTTTCCACTTAGAGTTGCTCAATGTGAACTTGTGATTCAGCAGCTCGGGACAGTAATGAGATGTAATAGGAAATGGAATGGGAACTAAAAGAGCAGCAGTTCTCTGTGTTCTAAATAGTGAAGCTCTGAGTCTCTGTGTTCAAATGGATTATGTGTCCTTTCACTACCTGAGTTTTTGTGTGTCCCGGGCCCCTGACTCAGCTCTCCGGTTGCTTTCTGACATTTTCTGGGGCGGTGGATGCAGATCATGTTTATCAATGAGCAATGCTCTACATAAAGCAGGAAGCACATTAACTCAGCCTCCTCTGCTTAAACCCAGAGACCTGAACCAGCACCACACTGCCTCTGGGCCCTACTTCCTGTTGGCACTGCATCTGTGAGCTGAATCAGCCAGGCCTCGATTATACCGTTCTCAGCATGAGATGTGAGCGTGATGCAGGTGGTCATTTTTCTGCCAGTATCTGATTTATTTGTGTCTCAGACATATTTTATGCAGAAGAGCATAAGGCATTCGGCATCATCCCAGAAAGAGCAAAATGTCTGAAGCAGAGCCTAAAGACGTCTTCCACTCTTTGGTTCCCATTTCTAAATATTTAGTAAAGAGTGGACGTTGTTACCATAGACTGTATATAGAATGGACAGCAGCTGCCTTCTCGCTGGGTAAAGCCACCATGAGAACAGCACCCTCTAGTGACAGGCTGCGGTATAGGTCATAAATCCCACCTCCACCAGCAAAGCGTATGGAGCTGTGGACAAACTCTATACAGTTTTTTACATACAACATGACTTTTTTTTCCCCTGATCGTGATGTTGACATGTAAGCACTGTCAGACTGGTTTGTGTTCAAGTCCTCTTTTTTCTGTGCAGCTCCATTTTTGAAAGTTATTAGGGGGTTTCATGTTTTCTATGATTTACAGCTGATACAGCCTATGGGTGTACGAAGATAGCATAGCTCACCCAGGGATACACTGTTTGAGCCGAGCATCATCACTGCCACTCTCGGCGACTCTCCCGCCGAATGCGCGCAATGCTACTGCGCAGTGTTGGAGTGCGTACAGCGCTACTGCGCAATGTTGGTTTCAGGAAGTGGAGAAAAAAACCAGAATTACGGAGACCCTTTCGGCTTCAAATCCATATACTGGCGGAGGGTAGAACGAGGTTGTCCATAGTATATACAGGCTGTGTCCCAGTTCAGAAACCGCACCGTCGAACGGCGCATTTGAAGCGTGCATTATGTCATCATCAGTTTGATTGTTTCTTCAGAAACCACAAAAACTCTCTGAATGACCCGCTGATACATCCACAGATAACCCTGCAGATGACCAGCTTCAGTCATTTCCCCCTCCACAAAAGCAGCTTTATGACTTTATTTACTTTATGACTTTATTCTCCTAAATTTACAACTTTAATCTCTAAATCTTAAAAGAAAAAAAAATCAATGTTGTCCTGATCCTCTGCTGTAGTTGTGTCAGCTTTCTTATTTCTAATGTTTTCGATAGTTGTAGCAGAGCAGATCAGTTCATCTCTAAATCTATAATGTTTGATTTGCAGATTTTAGTGAGTTCAGAGATCATGCTCTCATACAGCCTGAGTTGACTGTCTGCTGTTTTTGGATTTCTTGCATTTTCTCTGAAGACGCGCTGTGTCTCCAAGCGAGTCCAGCCTCTCACCTGAAATGCGCAGCTGTGCAGCGGCATGCAAAGAATTCTGGGATACCAACGGCACGAATGTGTGCATAAATGCACGCTTGAAAAAGGGGCGGGGGCAGTGTGGTTTTGAGACCGAATTTGAAGCACGCTTAGCATTTTGTGCCAAACGGGACACCGTTCATGTCGCATGATGACCTCACGCACGCTTCAAATGCACCGTTCGATGGTTGCGGTCTCTGAAATGGGACGCAGCCACAGTCTATGGTTGTCACTGAGGTCACCTGCTACATTGTTGACTGCTCCTGAAATTTCAACATCATATTTTTTAGACAATGAGGCCCTATTTAGACAAGAGGGTTGACAGTCATAACAATTTTTTTTCTTTTTTACTGGAAAATCAGCAATGGATGCATATGAGGTTACTCCCATATCACATTTTTTGGTTTCCCTTTTTTTTTTTTTCTTCCCATTTTGACCCCAAACTCCCAAAACAAACTCAGGCCCTCACAAGGGGGGTAAACACTAGAACAGTGGTCTCTGTACAGAAAAAATAAACCAAACAAACCCAAAATACAAAAACTTGGTAACATGTGAAAACAAAACAAAACAAAAAACACAAATACAAGTATCATAACATTCATCACAATATTGGGAGAAATGACTGTCAATACTACTTTGACATCAAACGTGGTGAAGACTTGTCAACCATAGGTAGCGATGCCCCAAATTATCTCCTGTTTTATTGTTTATTTCATGTCATACTGGCCAACTGTTTTCTAAACGCCTCATATAAACTATAATGTTTCCAATGTCTGAAAATCAAAATGTAACATTTTAATAAAATAAAGATCAAGTGTGAAAAAAGGACCTAAACATCTGTATTCAAACACTGCTGCTCCATCACACTGTTCTTCTTTTGGACCTGCTGTTGTAAACACACTGTGCACCACTATGTCAACTTTAGGAGGAAAGTCCTGAACCTGGAATTATCCAGAGGGTGGTCCCATTTTTTCTAGATGTATTGTAGAAGAAAAATTATGATACATTTGGGTCAATATGTCAATGTTATGCTGCACTAAAGAGAATTGGAAACTAGTTATTGAGACCTCAAACATATTTAAAGCACTAATACGCCTCATGTCTTAGTGGTTTAAAATGATCCCTACAGCAGAACATCCTTTGAGCTCAGGGTCTAGGCTCAGAACTTATCAGTGCTTACAGTTTTATTTTAACATGCAAAGACTGTAGAGCGATGAGATAACATCTTAAACCCCCTACCTGGGGCCCACAGGTGGATGCTAGGGTGGTGAGAGCTTGAGCTCAGCACTGATCCAGGGTTGGTGGTGCTGGCAGAGCAGAGGCAGAGACTGGAATTCTTGCAGCTTACATGGACCACCAAATGAAAAAGAAACGTCTGTCAAGTGAGTTTGGAGATGAGACGTGTGAAATGTGAAATCAGTGAAGCTTAAGATGTCTGCCTGAACAAGCTTGCAGGTGTCACTCCATGACTAAAATGATAACTGGATAATTAATAAATCAACAGAGAATCACAGTCATTGTCTAATGAGAATACAATCAGACTTTGATTTTAAGTTGAGTCGCCCCCTGCTGGCTTTTAGAAGCAGTTTTTGTAGTTGTAGACTAAATGAATTACATTATGAGAGGGGGACTAAACCTTAGAGTTTCAGCAGAAGTGCATTCACCCTGAAATTTTGAAAAATACTGTTGGTTAGGGTTGGGGAAAGTTGACAAATCCACTCACTCCATCAACAGCCTAAGCATCTTAACTTCTACCCAGCAAGTGCATGCACACACACTCTCTCTACTTCACACACATACTGATGAGTGATAACTCCAGGGGCAGCAGTGATTTTTTTATTTATTTTTTGCTATAGAAAGGGTGATTTTAAAATAAAGGATTTCTCTCCTCCAGAGTCTCCTGCAGGCCAAGACTAACGTGGTCTAAAGCCAATCAGTTTGAGCTGTTAGAACAAGCAGTGAGTGCTGAGACAGCTGATGCCGAGGCCTGCAAGGCTGGAGAAGTTGATAGACATCTCTTAGTGGTAGAGGAGGCCCATTGGAAGATTTGAATGTGATAGCTACAACATTTTCTATCTGGCATCTAAACAGGGCAAGCATGTAGCTTCCAAAAGACTATCTGCTTTGTTGATAAATAAAGTGATCTGACACCCAGTGAGTTCCTGGTTTAAAGTTTTAACATGTGCCCCAAACTGATCAACTAAAGCCTTTTCATTCATGGGCATCGTGATCAAGGACAGTCTGATAACCCTAACACTAACCCATTTAATCCAAACTTTTTCCCAGACACAAAAATATCCAAATCATGTGTCATTAGTATCCCTTTGAAATAATCATAATTTTTTAAGAATTTTCATGGAAAAGTGTGTGAAAAGTGTGTTTTATGATCGGTCACAATTGTGATACTATGTTGTATCAACCATTGGACAGACTGAATATAGGTCTATTTGACCTGTGCAGTGTGTGTGTGTGTGTGTGTGTGTGTGTGTGCATACTTGTGAACTCTATGTCCGACTGCATTCTCCTGTCTTTCTTGTTTTTCCTCTATACTCCATGGTTCAGCTTGAAGAACTCAATGTGCAGTGGATTTCTCACATGCATAGGTAGTGCGTTTCTCACAATGGCGACATCTCTGGAACTGGTGCATCGTGCTAATTGGCCAGTGGGAGGCTTTGTCGTATCTTGCCTGATCTTCAACGGTAGCACTCATTAGAGATCTCCTTCCATGGCTCAGTGGTTTTGTTTGAAACCTTTGCAGAAGAGACTGTGAGACTAACCATGAGAAGGTGAGCAGGTCGATGATCCCTCCAATAACATCTCTGGAAAAGAGAAGGCCATTAACAAGAGCACTGTTGATCGACCATGCAAAGATAGGCCACCACCACTTCTTTGACCTGATTGAGATATGGTATTGTTAAACCTGTAGGTTGTGAAGGTCTACACCAGCGATGTGCTCATTGTATCGGGTGATGCATTTTGGTTGTTGGACCTTGTCAATTGTCAAATGTCGCACGTCGACGCCTGTTCCATCTCTTGACAAAAGTCTCAGTGTATTTTTCATCCATGTTTTTTGCCACTGTGACAATGTTACTGTCCTTCCGACGGACCAGCAGTTTCTTTCCTTGGCACAGAACCGTAGAGATTCCCCTGGGTAACTTCATGAAGGCATTCGGTGGTGTGAATGGGACATCAAACAGGCGGTTCTGCCTCATGGTTCCAGAGCTCCCATATACTCTTTTTGTCATTTTATCCATGAGTGAAAAAGTGGTAAAGAGGTTGTCATGGAAGAACTTGCAACCTTGTAGCACCTGAGCTTGCTCTGCCAAACCTATGATAATGCTGGGTCCAAATCGGTTTGCCTTTGATGAATTGTTTACATCCATGACGGACGTAGTATGGGATCATGCTCTCATCCACTGACAGCCATTCCTGAAATGGCATGATTTTGTATGAGTGATTAGGCTCAGAGAAGATGGGTCTAACTTAAAAAAAAAATAGGTCATCAGTGATCTTAGTGTTGTCAACCACATGAACTGAGGCCATTATATCATCAAAGCAGTTTCTCTGCATAACACCTGAAATGCTCTCATCGTGTAATAAAAGCATACTAAGTCTGAAGTTGGAAACAGCTCATTTGTTTTCAGATATGTGGTAATAAAATTTGCTGAAGATGTAAAAATGAAAATGTTAAAGATTGCAGATTAAACAACACTTTCACAAATTCTCCTATGGTTGGCTGTATTTGTACCAAATTTCCATTTTTCACTCATAGTTTGAAAGCTTTTTCACCACATGACTAATTTCACTCTTAGTGTGGCATTGAGGCACCAAAACAACTTGAGTTGGTAATCTGGAAACTCCAATTGAAAAAAATAAAAATGAACTATCATGATGCTATTTTATAACCAGGACCATAAAAAGCAGAATTCATCCTCCAGGGAGTGAACACATTTGCACATAAGTCATTTGACGATTGAAACAATAGCTGTCCATATATATATGTAAATATGTGTGTGTGTTGCTATAAATATATATATACATATATATATATATATATATATATATACAGACCATCCATGAGTTCTACAGCTGCCCCACAGCTCTGAAACTGTGTCTAATACTGATGATGTGGGCCGGGCATGGGGGTGAGACCACACAGATGATTATGTTGTTTGTATATGGCGCATCGTTCAATGTGATACGTTACAGCTCATTTGTATTCATAGTCTTTGATGCATGCTATGTAATGCCATGCTACATTAGCCTATAATGTATAATGCAGCTACTAAAAACATGCTGATCTGTTTGAAGCAGATGTGTTGAGAGGGGCAGACACTATGATGAGTTTCAGGCTCTAAAGACAGGATGCAAGAATGCACAATTGCAAGCTTGTGTTTGTTAGTTAATTGAATTAAGAGTGCATATGTTTAATGTTCAACAAATATTCTGGAACTCCTATGTATGCCTGTGTATTTGATTTCTGCTCAAAATATCTTGTGACTGGATTATCTTTTTAGTCCTATCTTAACCAATCTTTTCAAGTTTAAATATACAATCTACTGTCTATGTGTCTGCAAATCCGTGCCTTTTCGCCCAACTCTTTTGGTCTTTGTTTTAAGTGATTGTTGACTAATTGTCACATGTAGGCGAGTGGACTACACTCTCATGGTGAGTCCTTGTGACTTACTGGCACCAGTATTGATCAGTAATGCTTTTACCAAAAATGCCAATTCAACTTGTTTAATTTTTACCCAGGATCTGATCCTCCTGCAAACTGGATCTGGTACAGAGGATGGGGAGTTGACACCAGCAAACCAGCTTTCCTTTGAGGCCATGCAGGAAGCTCCAGGGGAAGAAGGACTCCATCAGGCCCCCTTAACATCATGGCTACTGCTGTAGACTCATCTTCAGATGTTGCAGAGGAGCCTGATGAACTGCCAGGTAGCTCAGCAGGGCTTTCGGCTACCTCTAACTTGGTGCCCGAGGCCTCAAAAAAGCCCCAACACAAAAGAGAAAGACTGAGGTTTTGGAGTCTCTTAGAGCACAGAAGAAGTCAGGAGAGGAGACAGAGAGAGCTTGATGAAAGGGAAGAAGAGTGAGAAGAAAAAGAAAAGAGCAGCTGGTCAAACTTTAAAATATATTTGGGAAGTCAGTGGAGAAGTAAAACTGGTCTTTCCATGTCCTTTTAGTGTCATGTATAATTGCATTGTATTTTTTATGCATTGTTATTAAGACAAGGTTTTCTTTTTCATTTCTCTGAGTACACGTAAGGCTCTACTTCACTGATTTTTGTATCCTCTACAGGCAATAAATCTGTGGTTAAAAAATGATATTACTGCGAATTGCTGCTCATCGACCTCCGTTTTCTGGTCATTGATTAAGATTTCCAGCATGAATATTTAAAGGTGGATTTGTGGGAACAAAATAGATGTTGGTGTCAAAATGGCTTTATTAAGAAGCAGACAACTTTATGAAAAATCACCGACAGGAATCACAGAAGGCCGCAATGTAATCCATATTTAATGTCCCCCAAATTAAATGATTTCAACAAGTTGGACAGAAATGTGTGAAATGTCTTAACGTTAGGAAGTGGTAGTAGCTAGAAACGCAAACCCATGACTCAGTCACATGAGCTCATCAGCTCCTTAATCAGGTACACCTGTCAGCTGCTCGTTAACTCAAACATCTACTCAGCCAATCACATGGAAAGGAATCACTTTGGAACATAGCTGATCTGCTATGCTACCACAATCAATAACATTAGAAATGAGAAAGCTGCCAAAGCATATCATCATGAAGACATTTTGTGGAAATTATCTGTAAAGTCCTTTCCTCTTTTTGGTTGTCACTTTATTGTTTGTTGTATATAGTAACCCCTGTGTGCTCGTAAGTATGTGTTGTTTTGTGTCTGTACCTTTTGTTTTGAATATGTATTGTATGTATTTAAGGTCACACAATTTTGAAAAAAAGAAAAAAAAAGGTGCACTCTGCTTTTCTTCAAGTCAGTCGTGATGAGGGCCTGAGGGCGGGGACATTTGGTGATGCAACCAGGAAGGGTAGACCATCCCAGTTCAAAAAGTTAATCCATTTTACATAGGGTGCACACCATAGACTGTATATAGAATGGACAGCGTCTGTCTCCTGGCTGGGGGAAGCCACTCCGAGAACAGCAAAGCTTATGGGGCTGTGGACGAACTTAATAAATTTATTACACAGAGTATAAATGTTTCTCCCCCCTGCTTGTGATGTTGACATGTAGTTATTCCAAGACTGGTTTGTGCTCAAGTCCTCTTTTTTCTGTACAGCTCCATTTTTAAAAGTTATTAGGGGGTTCATGTTTTCTATGGTTAACACAAAGATTGCGTTGCTCACTCAGGGGATACACTGTTTGAGCAGAGCATCATCACAGCGACTCTCCCACCGAATGCGCACAATGCTACTGTGCAAGTGGTGGAGTGCGTACAACGCTACTGCGCAATGTTAGTTTCAGCAAGTGGAGAGAAAACACAGAATTACAGAGAGCTTTTCGGCTTCAAATTCATATAATGACTAAAGGTGGAACCAAATTGTCCATAGTATAAACAGTCTATGGCGCACACACACAGGGTGCATACAGGACAGTGCACTGGGCAGTGTGCAGACCCTGAATTGAGACACAGCCTATAAAGAAGAAAGGTGACCTGGTTGACGGTGCAAGACAAGCTACTTGATTATGTCAGACCCTGCTGATCTAGTGGGATTTTTACACACAACCATCAGAAGAGTTTATGGAGAACAGCCTGAAACAGAGTAAATCTCCAATGAGCAGCAGTTCTCTACTAAAATAAAATACTTTAACCACTTATTAACCACTTCTTAAAATCAAAAGGTTACTTATATTAACGATAGAAAACCAGCTTCACCAAAAGCATTGAGACTGATTAAGATGTTTATGACTACCTGTTTATGAGTGATCGGGTGAGCAACACTTTCTACATCTACAATAACACCACAACTGTAATACTGCAAATAATACAATTTATGTGCTTTGAACGAACCCTCAATGCATATACAACAGGACAAGATAAGTATGATTATGTAACCACAACAATATTATTTTCCAAGCCTCTTTTCTGACATTTACTTACCGTTTTTTTGCAAAATATTTATAACTATTACAGAGTTTGGTGGCCCTATAATTGAAAATAGACCTCAGGAAGTAAAACATTTTGGAGGACAAGAAGAAAGTTGATGGATGAAATATGAACCTGTGAATTTGATTTAAAGAAAGTCTTGAGCAGGGCAGTGAGTTCATGTACCTGAATGGCCTCCAGAGTAAACCAGATCTCAGTCCATTAGAGAACCTTTGGGATGTGATTAAACAGGAGATTCTATTATGGATGACAAAGACAGCTGACAAATCTGCAGCACCTGAGTAATGCGACTATATTTTGTTGAATCTCTACCATAAAGAATTAAAATACTTAGGAGGCAAAAGAATATCCAACACAATACTTTTGTTTTTGATTGGTCGATTTAAGTTTATTTTGAATATGCAAATCAAAAGTATAAAAATAAAACAAGAAAAATAAGGCAAAACATTTAAACATAAAACACAGAAACATAAAACATAGAAATATATACTGAAAAAGGAGTGAGAAGAAAAATAACTTATGAACTCCCACCCCTTCTCTTTAAATAATGAGTGCCCACACCAAGCTTCCTTGCAACTTGTTTAGATGTACCTGATAAAGACAAAAAAAAAATAAAAAATCATAACACTTAGTGCTACCCAACAGCTTCCTCATCCCTGTACCTCTTAAAAATAGTGTCTCTATACCTCTTTTTAGACTGTATCATGTTTGAACATTGCTTTACCTTCATGGAAAACCTGTTCCATAGTCTCACCCCACTCACTAAAACACAAAAACCCTTCCTCTTTGTCCAAATTAAAGTTTGATTAAAGTTAATTTTCCCCCTTAAATTATTACTTCCCTCATGCATACTGAATAATTTCTGTATATTTATTGGTAATTAATTATTTTTAGCTTTAAACACCTTTTGAGCTGTTTGATATTTCACAGTGTCTGTGAATTTTAAGAACTTGTACTGCAGAAATAAGAAGTGTGTATGGTAGTTAGTGGCTGTAGTGATGTTTTATAGTTGTTGCCCCAAACCTCAGCACAGTATTGGAAGTATAGTGAGACTAGGGAACAGTGAAGAGTGTGAAGTGGTTTCTGATCCAAAGCTTTTTTGCTTTGTTTATTATTGCAATGCTTCTTGAGACTTTGTTGTACATGTTTGATATTTGATTTCCAAGTGATTCTGTCGTCTATGATTACCCTCCAAAATTTAATTATCTATCATGATGTCCCTAATAAAGTGACTAGTGACTATGAATTAA